CTACAGGCCTTAATTGGCAGGAAGGCTGGGGAGCAGCCTTGATGTTCCAGACTCTCTTGTTCCACATCCTGGAACCTCTCAGACTGCTAATATGATGATCACTGTCCGCTCTTTCATATATCTTATGTTTTTATGTCTTTCATAAAGAAACGGAAAAAAAAGTAACTCTTCATAGTTAATGGGGTCTTTTAAAAATTGTCCCGGATCTGTTTATTTCATGTGTTTGAGTGTTTTGGCGACATGTATGAGTGTGCACACCATGTGTGTCTGGTACTCACAGAGGCCAGAAGAGGGCACCCGAGACCCTGGAACTGGAGTTAACGGATGAGTCGCCACGTGGGCTCTGGGAGTTGAACCCAGATTCTCTGTAAGAAAAACAAGTGCTGTTAACTGCTGAGCCAACTCTCCAGCCCCCTAATGAACCATTTTTGTGAGAAATGTTGAAAATCTTTCTTTGCTCATTGGTTAAAGTGTTTCTGGGTGCTTCCTTCTTTGTCTGCACATGCCTTTATCAAAGATAGTGGAAGTAAGAATAATTCAGTGTTTATTTCAATGTTCCAAGAACCCCAATGGATAAAAACCTTGTTTTTGGCCTTGAAATATGGGACCTCATAGCCTTGGCCCATGAGAAGTGAGGTTATTGTGTCTTCTACATCCGTATTTTCATCAGTGATCTCTCTCAAGGCTCCTGCTGAGACGAGAGTGCCAAGCAATGAAATACGGGCTCAGTCATCTTTCCCCACGCCAGAGCAGAGGGCATCCCTAGCACTGTGTTAAGGCTTCTGCTGGACTTTTTGCTTCTGGCTTTCATCTTCAATGGATCAACGTCACTCATTCTGTTATATAGTGTGACTTCCTTCTTCCAAAGTTATAATTTCTTTTTTCCTCTGTACCTTGCCTACCTCGTCACTGTGATGCTCTTAGAGGTTTTTAAGTTGGATCGTGTGTCACTGGCTTCTGATGATGACACCGTCATGTCATTTAAAATCCAAGTGGCAGCTCTTTTCCACCGAGGGGAATTGATTCCTCTGTGTCGTTTGTTGGCCTTCTTGTGCTTTCTCTCTTTCTTCCTTTGTAGCTGCAGACTTTTTATTTTACTTTTAAGCAACTTTTTGGACTCCATTCTTACCTGGGTACATAGAAGGGTGTCCATCTATGTCAGGATTTTCAATTTACGATAATACAAGCTTTCAGGTTTATTGGATGACACCCCAAGAATCGACTCTTATTATAGCCAGGACTCACTCCCTTACACTGTAAAGTATGTAGCATCAGGCCCGCCTCACTACAGCACCCACTGTAGCTGTGGCTCTCCTTTGTGTTCCCACAGTTTACTGATACAGGGCTAATAACAGGTCAGTGTTTTTCCGGGTGCTAGATATCCGGTCTGATGTGTAGTTATTGTTGATGCATTTCTTCCAGGAAAGGGAGCTTTCGTATTTATATCAAAGGCAAATATGGGAGTGCCCAGAGTTTTCCAGCGTAGGCCACTTGACCTTAATCCTAGCACGGATGCAGACCATAGGAATGAGGTCAGAGTGTCTGCCCATGGCATGGATGTGTGAACAGCACGCAGAAGAATTAAATGCAGGTGGAAGAGTCATTAGTTACCTGTTACTCAATCATGGCTTTTCGTTAGTCTCCAGATTCATGGTGCAACTGTACTGGAAATCAACTTGGCATCCCCAAGTCATATAAACACCTTCAACTTTAGTTTTAAGCTCTGGTCATTTGTGAGCCTAGCCTTTAATGGCTGAGCCATCCCTCCAGCCCAGCATTAGTTGTTTGTAAGCCTGCTGGGAGAGAGCCCAGTGCCATTAGTGGCGAGAATGGGTCTCTCTTCTGGCTATGTCTCATTTTCACCTGGGGAGCTTTAAAAAATGATTTTCCAGTCAATCCCAGGAAGCCTGATTGAACTGGTCATAAGTGGGGCCTAGACACATTTTTTTTTTTTTAAGGTTCCTCAAGTGATCCAGAAGCATGAAGTCAGGGAATGGCAGAAAAAAAACCTCGGGACATGCTAACCATGATTTTCCTCGTGTTAACTTACCTATGTTGGTTATGCCTTCTGTCTATGCTCTGAAACATGGCCTTCCTCCCTTATGCTATATCTGTAACTTAAAGCAGCAGGGGGCAGGAGGAATACAGCTTCTAATTGGTAGAATTTCAAGTCTTGGCTTTCCTTTTTTAGAATTATGACCATGGAGAAGATTAAATTTACCCAATTTTAGTTTCCCTGTTGATCAAAAGGATATTATAAAGCTTCTTTGCTAGGGAAGGTTGAATCATTAATATGACATGAAAATCTTAAGCATTGTATCCAATTCATAAAACCTCAGTACATGTTCGTGTGTGCGTGTGTGTATGTGTGAAGGCCAGAGGCTGATACAGGGTCACTATCCTCTGTCACCGTCCACCTGAGTTTTTGGGACAGGGCCTCTCCTGAAACATGGAGCTCATAGTTCTGGCTAGCTTGTCTCTATCCTCCAGCTCCGGGGTTACAGACAGGAGGCTATTTAACCGGGGTGCTGGGGGTCTGAACTCAAATCCTTCTGCAAGCCCCTTAACCACTGAGCCGCATCCACAGCGTCCTCAGTGTAGTCTTTCTTGCATCATCCTCACACAGCTCCAGGGACTGGGGCAGAGCAGGAATGAAGGGAAAACAGACAGCCCGCCCCCCAAAAGGTGGAGAGGCTGCAGCTCCACTGAGGCTCAGTGTGTTTCTTACACTCAGTTGTACAGGGGGTGGGGTTATTTCATACTGCTGAACAAAGGGGCGGGGTTATTACGAACATCTAAACACCCGACCTGGTCTGTCTCTGAAGTGGTCGGTCAAGGTTGGTCATGTTGTTTGCATTGTGAGAATAAGGTTATCTGTTTGAGTGATGTCATCAGTTTCACGTGGGTGTCAAGATCGTACCCTTTCCCGTCATTCACCGTACGGCCATCCGTATTATTCTATTACTTTATTCTCGTAGTAACGATGGTAGCAGCTGACTTTGGTTTTATACCACCCATATATTTCAGAGGAGCACAGGTGAGTTCAGAAACATCTTTAAGTTACTATGTAATCTATTAGTTTTTTTTTTTTTTAATTTTTGGTCATAAGCATAAATCTTTCTGCATCTCGATCTGTGCTTAGAGAGTCATGGGAAAATTAATTTCATTGTAGCCTGGTATCAGGAAACAGTTTATTATTCATGACAGTGACTGAGGAACGCAACTGTCTTATTCAGTTTGACACACACCATCCCTTGCTGACTTATCCAGCTGCAGTGGGAGCTTGAGCGAACGAGAACACTTGCAGGCTTCTGTTATTTCCAGGTTCATGTCCAGGTCAGAGAACTGGGAGACTCTTCCAAGGGCATTGCTCACAGGAAGTGGGCATGTCCCAGCAGATCAAGGAAGTAAGTGGGCGTGCCCGAAGGTCGGCTCTCCGGAAACTGACTTTGTTGACAACTTATGATCCTCTGGTATTTGTCAGTACCTCATGAACAATGGCACAAAACAATTTAAGGATGAGCACCGGATTTTCGAAATCATGAGAAGCTAAAATTTTGGCTTTATAACTGTTATCAAAAGACAACACATTTAGTTTTAAAAACTGTAATTAGTCCAGTTGCAAGCAATGGGTGCACGTGCGTGTGCACGCGAATGCGCGTGTACACACACACACACCCCCACACAAACACACACTCTTCATTGGCTTTCATCTGTGATTCCTGAATTTGGGCCTTAAAACCACAGTAAGTCAAGGCTTCAAGGCGGCATGGGCACAAAATGGAACTGACCCTCAGGGAGAGCCTAGTTGAGGATAGCTGGGTGCTTGTCTTACTTGAATCAGCTAGCACCTGTGACTGAAGCAGAGCTGCTGGAATCGGCTAAGACTCAGCTATTTGTTATAAGGCTTTACTACCAAATTAGGCTTTCGTTACTCTGTACCAAGCTAGGCCGCAGTTTGTTACACACAGACTCAATTTCAAAGGTGTACTTTGGTCCAAATTTAATTTAGCTTATTACTATCTATGCCTAAAACCAGCAAGCTTCCTTTATGAAAGGGCCAGATGGGAATTATTTTAGAATTTGCAGAAATGTGATCTCAGTTACAGCGATTTGACTCTGCAGTTGTTGACAAAAGTGACTGTAGACAATACATAGTTAAGTGGGCATGGCTGTGTTTCAGTCAAACTTTGTTTATAATGTGGCCCAATTGGGAGTGATTAGTAGTCGGCCCATCCTGAGCTGCAGCATCTCACACCAAGAAGTTCTGTTTCCTGAGGCCGCCTGGAGGATGACAAGATGTAATATGTAAAACAAACATATTATGCGCTCAGCATGCAGTAACACTCGAGAACAGAGGCTCCCCAAGGTGGTAGGTAGCTCATGCCTGTTGGGGAGGCTTCCCTCCTAAAGAAGCAGATCTGGGAAGATTGCAAGGTCCAGGCCTCGGCCGGCTATTGGCAGGACCATGTCTCTCAAAAAGTCATGGCTTTTCTTGTGCTTTACTTAAGGTATTATATCCCAGACTGAGGAAATGGTTCATTTGGAAAAGTGCTTGTCCCTCAAGCACGAGGATCTAAATTTGAGCTCAGAACCTATGGAAGTCAGGTTCCAGTGCGGAGGAGGCAGAGGCAGCAGGATCTGGGACCCACTGGCTGGGTAGGCTAGTGTGCCAGGTGAGTTCCAGGCTGAGGAAAGGCCCTGTCTCCAAAGAGAAAAACAGTGGTGCATGGTGCCTCGAGAGAGACACCCGAGGTTGTCCCTGGCTTCCGTAGCACATGAACACACGTGTTCTCACGTACACATGCGCTCTATCTCACATACACTTTCATACCTCCTCATAAGTGAGGAACTATCATTGATCATGTGACACACTGCATTTCAAAGGCATGGTGGTAATTGCTTATGTAACAAGATTCTACTTAGGGTTTTCAGTCTTGTTCTATGGACTATAAAATTTCTTGTGTAACATGCCTCTGTGTTTTCTTTTTTCCTCCCAGAGACACATGCCACGAACTCTTGGGACATGTCCCGCTGCTTGCAGATCCAAAGTTTGCTCAATTTTCACAAGAGATCGGCCTAGCCTCTCTGGGAGCCTCAGATGATGATGTTCAGAAACTAGCCACGGTGAGTTTCACTTTCAACCTAAAAAACTGGTTCACTGTCTAATTATATGGTAAAATAAAGCTCATGGCCACCGACTGTGTCTCCCAGGCTAATGTTCTGGGGAAAGCATGATTCCACCCTAACTTTGTTCTCATTTTGCAAAAGATAATCAACTCTTGGTTTATTAGTTACCAAAATATGTGTTTTAGCCTTCCTGTTTAGAGGTTGGCTGGGTGGGTATAGATGGATATAAAGGGTGAGTCAGTATTTTCGGTTTGGTAGCCCTGTAATCACTGTCAAAATTAGTCAGCTCAGCCACCGTGGAACAAAAGCAGCCACAGATAATACATAAGTGAGTTGGCAAGTGTTGTTCCTCAGGCACTGCTCATCATTTCTGAAACGGGATTTTATGGTGGGGGTGGGGGACTCTTGGGGATTCACCAGCAGGGTAATAAAACTTTATTCTCAAAAGCCAGGGGTGGGCTAGATTTGGTCTATAGGCCGTCGCTTACTGAATTCTGTGGAAATGTTTGTCATAGTAAAAGGGCAGAGTAGGAACTGCAGCTAGTATTCTCTCCTTGACAAGTTGATAAGGTTTTAATCAGATACGATTTGAGACAGCGTTAAGAAACTGGAGCTCAACACTTACCACACATACAAACCAAGAAAAGATTGACTAGATGTTATGATATCAGGAAAGTTCTTTCCCAGACAAGTCATGTAAAAGGAAAAGTAGGCTTCGATGCTGTGTTTAAGATGTTAAAGAAACAAATCAAGACAGCTTGTGTACCTCGCCCTTTTCCTTATTTCAGAGTCTAGGAGTAGAAAGATGTTTAGAAGCTTAAGGACCTGCAGGGGTAAAAATCTTAAATGATTACAGCCACCTGGTAAGGAAAGGAGGTCTTCAATTGAGTATGTTTGCCACAATTATATATCAAAAGAATACTCTTTTCTCCCAACAAGAAATATTTTTTTTTTTTCAGTGCTGGGAGATGGCTCAGTAAGTAAAGTGCTCATTGTGCAAGCATGAGGACCTGAGTTCAAATCCCTATAACCCAGCTAGGTGTGTGTGTGTGTGTATATATATATATATATATATATATATATATATATATATATATATATATAATTTTTAATATATTTTATTATTATTTTATTTACTCACTATTTATTCTTTATTATCTATTTCCTTTTAGCTTTATTCTTATTATTTATTTTTATTCACTATATTTAATTATATCTATTTTCATTATCTATGTATTTTTCTTTAAACATAGTTTCTGGGAATAAAATCAGATGCTTGTGCTTCTAAAACAAGTGCTTTACTGACTGGGATGGTTCCCAGCCCTCTCCTAATTTTCTTTAAAACAAAACAGAACACCTTGCTTTTTCAGTGTATCTTCTGTTTCCTACTTTTGATAGGGATGAACCATGAAATATATTTCTCTCCTAAAAGGAAAGCCAGAGTAGAAGTAGTTCCACTTTTTCCTTCATGAAAATCTTCCCATCCCAAGACTCAGACGTATGCTGAGGACTCGGGAAAATAGAGGCAGGCAGACCTCTGTGAGCTTAAGGCCAGCCTGGTCTACATAAGGAGTTCTAGAACAGCCAGTACTACCCTGTCTCAAACTAACTAACTAACTAACTAACTAACTAACTAACTAACTAACTAACTAACTAACTAACTAGCAAACTAACAAGAAAACCCCACACACCCACACATATAATCACATGAAACAGTAACATCTTCACAGTTCTGAGGATTAGGGCATGGATAGCTTTTGGAGCATTATTGTTTGTTTCTGTTTTTGTATTTTCTAGGGTAAAATGTAATACTTATAATTTGAAACCTTTGTTACAAGGGCAAGCAGACTTTTGGGAGAAGAAAGTTTCTTATTATGCTTCTAATATCCTTGGCGGTTCATGGTCTTGGCTCCATGAGCTAAAACACTTGTAATTGGTAGAGTTCATTAGGCCATTTTTCATAGGCCTTTGTCTTTTTCTCTCTCCATCCTTTTCTTCCTCCATTGTCTTTCCCCTGAACTGTACCTAGTTTGCTTCTATGTTTCTGTGATAAAAGAGTTGGGAAAGCAACTCTGGGCAGAGAGCCTTTCTGTGGCTTGCACTTCCTAATCACTGTCTGTTATTGAGGGAAGTCAGGGGAGGGACCATAGTGAATTGCTGCTTATGGGCTTGCTGTCCCTTGGCTTGCTGAGTTTGCTTAGCAAACTGGACCACCTGCCCAGAAATGGCAACTCTCACAATGGGCTGAGACTTCCTACATCAATCATCCATCAAGAGAATATCCCACAAACATGCCCTGGGTCCAGTGTTAACAGAGGCAATTTCTTAATTGAGGTTTGTTCTCTCCAGGTGTCTTTGGTTTGAATCAACTTGAAAACAAAACAAAACAAAACAAAAACAAAAACAAAAACTAACCAGTACATTGTTTGAGACTAGGATTCTGAGGGCAGAATCTAGGAAAGACACTTACTTTTTTTTAACTATGAAATAATTGGTGACAGATGATGGAGGATCAAGTGTCCACTGAGAGGATCATCCTGCCCGAAATCTTACAGTAGTTTTGACTGATAAAAAGCAGAGTGTAAGCTTACAGAAGACTTCAATGCAAAACATTTTGAGTCTCTGCCAATGTACTAGAGACTCTGTGTACGTGTGTGTGTGTGTGTGTGTGAGCTAGAGAGAGAGAGAGAGAGAGAGAGAGAGAGAGAGAGAGAGAAGAGAAGAGTATGTATGTGTGTGTAAGTGCATGCATTTGTATGGAGTGGCCCCGTTCTTCCACCTTTTGCTTGGTTTACTCACTTATGTTGATATTGCCTGGCCGCCCATCACAAATCCCTTTGACTTTCGGTTTCTTGCAAGCCTTACAGTTCTAGTTCTTTCAAATTGTGTAAGTTGTGTAAGTGTTTACTCTGAAGTGTGGCACACTGAAGAAGGATCTGGAAAGAATTTCCTGTGTGTTGAGGAGAGTGTGGAGGAAGGCACTCACAATGTGATAAAGCTGGCGACACTCACAAAAATAGGAATGCAATTGCTATTGACATGTAGAGCTATCGCCCGTCTTTCAGTTAAAACCAAAGTGAGTGCAGAAAGTACTGAAACTGGCCCTGGAAGACCACACAGAATCCAGCCAGACTGTTTCAAAGTACAGGCTGGATAAACAGCCTGCAGGATAACATGCATATTAATGACTTCCAAGCCACACACTGAAACTGGAAAGCAAATTGAGTGACTCACTTGTAAAGACCAAGACTTAAGAGTTCATGTCTCTGGGGTGGTGCACACCGGTAGGATTTGCTGAAGGAAACAGAGGCAGGAGGATCATGAGTTCGAGGTCAGCCTGGGCTACATATTTTAAAAAATACTTGTGTCTCATTGGCAGGGGCAAGAAGACCTATGGCTAGCTATCCCTGATGAGAAAGGGGGCCATTATTAGTCCACTCCACGAATTTGTCTGTGTCAAGTCCCCTGAAGAAGTAGTAGGTGAAAAAGGGAGATGAGACATACCAAGAGAGGAAATCCACAGAGAGGACAGATGGAAAACTACAGCCATTGCTGTTTATGTAGACTGTGAGACAGGCAGTATTATTCCTATACCCTGGGTGAGATTTATATTATTAATCCTCTGTTTATATAGTGCCCGATTTTCCTAGTTTATAGTGAATTTAGGCACATAAAAAAAGAGTTATGACTCATGAAAGGAGACAGTTAATAACTTTCTGGGATGCACTGTCAACAAATCTAAGGAGGAAGCCAACATCCACTCAGACTAATTGTCACCTCCGAATGGGGTTCGTCTAAGGCTGCTTTTGGTCACCAGGGTCTGGTTTTTAGAGGGCTCAGGCTGTACTGCCTGTAGACACTGGATTCCCTTGCTATATTTCTGCCTGATATTTATTTTGACATGTTAATAATGCTCAGTTTCGAGAATGAAGCTATCTCTGCTGCTTTTCTGTGGGCAATGGTTTTTATGCCCTGAGAACCATTTAAATGAGCCTCTTTTGTACCTAAAGAAATTGATGATGATGCTTGGAGAATGTATTTCAAATGCATTGTTATGCATGTAAATAATTTGCCTTCTGGTGGATAATGAATAAGGCCATTAGTTTTGGCTGCTAGATTCTTTTCTTACTCCTTATAGCTGTCCCAGGTCTGTGCATGACAGATACGCAAAAATATTTCCAATGAGGGCTACATGGCATGTGTTATAATTTTGAGACAAACTATTTCCCATTTCTGGTTAAGGCAGATTTAATACGATAGTTTGTACATTGTGTTTGTAGACTTAAATGCCTTCAGTGGTCAGGTAAGGTAGCAAGCATCTATGAAACAGCCTGGTATAAATTGGTAAGGAGCCTTAGAGACTGTGGAGAAGTAGAAAAAAAAAATCATGCCTAAAGGCCTTTAGATGCAAAATCAAAACAAAGCTAAAGGTTCACTGGCAGTGAATCACATCTCTAAGCAGAAACTGAACTGTAGGATCAAAGTGGCCAGGCTTTGTTTTGAATGTGAAATTTTACACTAGACTACACTAGGTTTAAGGGATAAGACCACGTCATTACATTATACTGTTTATTCCCAGTTATGCAGTTCTGTTTGGTAGACAACAGAATCTTTTGTTTTGAAAGGCAAGTTGATTTGAATTATAGCTAAACATTTGTTTACATCTGCTTACGTACTTGTTTTGTGTGTGTGTGTGTGGGGGGCCTCATGTGTGAGCATGCATGTGTGAAAGTCAGAGTACAATTTATGGAAGTTGGTTCTTTTTCTGCCATGTGGGATCTGGGGATCAAATTCGGGTGGTTAGGCTTGGTGAAAGTATATTTTACCTGCTGAGCCATCTCACAGGTCCTGAATTATAACTTCAAACGGTTGTAAATAAGATTTTCATACATCTATCTTGAGCATGTTTCAACTCATTAATGCGGAAAAAGCAGGACAGTCGGATGGAAATCGAGTGAAGGGCAACTCCAGAAACTGAGATCTTATAGACACGGAAA